CCCCAGAGGGGCGAATGCCCCAGGAATATCCCCCCCCCCTTCTTTAGGATATTCACCCCCCATATATGCGATGTGGTTTATTCAAATAATTTCGTGATACTTTCATCTTATTAGTGCCTTAAGGCCCATACAGACCGGACGCTATTTGGCAACGCGACGCGAATTGTCAGTTTTCAATGACATTTAACTTTAATATTTTTCATTGTTTTTCAAATATTCGGGACTACTTAGCAATTTAATTATTATTTTGGTCTGCATACCTTGTAAAATTTTTATCCGTTGACGGTTTTATTTGTTTTTAAAAACTAAAAATTCGCGTCGCGTTGCCGAATCGCGTCCGGTCTGTGTGGGCCTTTACACGTTTGAGAATTTAAATTTGCAAAACAAAAGCTTTTTTGTCTGTTTTGAAACGTATTATTGGAGTATTGGCAAGTTTTACCATTCCGAGATTTACAAACTAATATTGAAACTGTAAAAGACAGTTTCATGTATACGCGCATTCACTAATGAGTAATGACAACTTATGAGCCATACATTTTCCGATAACGACAAAACGCTTGTGTAGCCTTTAGTCGCTCTCAGTGACTAATACATTTTTTGAGGGGGGCAAAATGGGGGGGGGGCAAAAAATCATTTTGGAGGGCATTTGCCCCCCTGGCGCCGCCACTGTTTGGAATACTAGCCCAATGCTCTGCCAACTGAGCTATACGCGGTCAGGTCGGTTCGAGTATGTGATATTTCGGAACAGAATCTATAGTTCCTTCGATTTGTGTTTCTCAACCGGCAGATGCATGCATTTAAAAAGGTTGTTAACTTTGTTAACTACAAAATAAAGCTAAAACAAGGTACTTTTGAGAGGAACGCCAAAAAGATTTTAAGTTTTGAACACTTTTCATCGCAAATGCGTGACATTAAAAAATTGCCGCTTAATAATCTGACTGTTGTATTTCAGTTTGCCAGAGAAATGAAGAAGGATTCGTTACGAAACGAGATCTACATCGCAGATCTTAAATGTAAGATCTTGCAGTTGAAGATTGAGCAGTGCCGACGCGAAGAAACCGCGCAAACATAAGAACAATTAAACTTGACATGTAATTTTTATGTTGATGTATGAATTTTTATATATGTAACTTGTGTATACTTAGAGTACTTTAATCGTTTTAGCATAGAACATGCATTATTATAGGAGTTTTTTATAAGATATTGTGTATTCTAAATAGAGCCTACATTTTATGCTTTGTTATAATAGTGCCTATATATTTTTCTGATATTCGTTCCGGTAGACGAGTGGGATCGTGCATGAGCAAACCGTAACTTGTCTCTCTCCTCCCCAGAGGCTTTAGTTCGGCTCAGCTCGTGTTCCAAGATCCGCCATGCATGTAAAGTGTAGTGAAATGTATCTCAATACTAATCGTAATCATGCATAGCCAAAAGAAGTCTCTGCGGAGGAGAGAGGTAACTTGTAATGCATATGCCGTTAAAATTGTTAGTGACTTTTAAAATGTATATCTAATATTTAGTGAAGTAACTTATGTATAGTTACTGTTTTTTGCATGTGAGACAATCACTGATGTATAGCTAATGCTTTATTAAATTAGGTAAATTATAGGTATCTCTACACAGGTTTCTTTAATTTAAGAAGAAAATTAAACTGTGCACATACAGGGATGTTGCGAAGCATCTGGAGTCAAGGAAGCAATGTGAGAGGATCTTACCTGAATTGGAATGGACTTTTCCCCTTATAACTAAAATTTTGATCTAGACAAGTCTAGACAAAAATTTCATCGCAGCTTGAAAGAGCATCACAAAATTAATGTTCCGACGTTTCGTTGCGAAATGTTGTAAAATGCGGATAATATAGCCCTGCGAAATTTGCAATTTTCAGTCATTTTGTATTACAAACGGGAAATTGATGCCCCAACACCCGATTGGGCTGTGAATTTCCCCCGCGTAATACAAAATGACTGAAAAACGGCAAATTTCGTAAGGCTATATTATCCGCATTTTACATTTCGCAACGAAACTTTGGAATATTACTAATTTTGTGATGCTCTTTCAAGCTGTGATGAAATTTTTGTCTAGATCAAAATTTTAGTTATAAGGGGAAAGATCCATTGTAGAATTATGCATGAAAAAGGTCTCGCCAGGTCGTTTCTTGCACGAGCACCCAAAAGGAAAACAACAAACATATTTTAAGACAATTTTCGGTCAACTTCGCCTTAGAAGAACTCTGTCTTACTTACTTGTAATTTTTCAGTTTCCGCGTCATATGCATTTTAATTTATACATTCAACATTCCCATATTTTTACGACATTTGAAATTCTTTATTAGTGTATTTAGTAAAGTAGGAAGGTGTTGTTACACTTTTGTTTGTTTTAACAATAAAAAATATAATTGTCGTTTTTATAAAAGTTGTCATGAGTGTATATTATTGCCCTTCCAAACTTTCAAGTGGCGAAAGCTTCATGCCAGGAGGTGTAAAATCTTTCATTTTCTTCACAGAAATAGTTCGTCCAGAAGTCATCTTAAATCTCCCCAGTTCGTCCTCTTCTTTACTCTTTATTTTTTGCAATACTTCAGCTCTTGGTGTGACGATGTTCGTATCTCTCGCTTTCATAATATCAATCCTATCCTCATAAAAGTCTTTGGCGTAAGCTCTTCGCACGTGAACAACATTCTTTCGTTCTCGCCGATATGGTGGATTGATTCTCCAATAGGAGTTCTTATTCTGTCTTGAAATCATTTGTCCATGAGCCAAGTTTCTCATTTCGCGTGTTAGGTCGTACTTATGTTTTAATCCGTCGGCTTTGTGGAGCTGATCACGCGGACAGTGTAATCCTAGAGATGACAAAGACTCTCGAACGTGTTCCAAGTGCTCGTGTTTTTCCAATGCCTTGAAATCGAGTTCTTGTGTCGAGTGCCTTAAGCTTGACGTAGAAATCCTACTTGTAGCTGATGCGATTTTACGGCTATCGGTTGCATAGGCATCAACGGGTGATATATCCTCCGGTTTTTGTCTGGTTTGTAGGCCTAGGTCATCCTTGGCAATAGCCCGAATAGCACTTTCATCTTCTTTCATACGTTCCAACTCTACTGTTGTCCATAGTAACTTGTTATGTCGTCTAGCTGCGGCTGCATAACGCTCTTGAATTCTCTTCCTTATGTCTTTACTATCTCTGTCTTCATTGACGATCTCTCGTGTGCCAATTTCATCTTGTAAACGTAGCAGTTTTGAGCGGATATCTACTGAACGATTGGCAAGTTTTTGACGTTCAACAATACCTAAATAATCTTCCTCTCCACGTTTCTTTGTATCTGCACTTATATCTTTTAGCGTATCTTTCAGTTCTCGTCTTAGTTTTGCCTCTTGAATTTCTAGTCTTCTTATTTTTGATGGCGCTGGCTTTTTCTTTATCATTTTATTCCCTTTTCTTATACCGTTTCTTTATCCCGCTTTAAGTTTGTATATTATAATACTCCGTATTTGTTTAACTTGTGTAGAATGTAATTACTCTAGTTTCTATCTTTCGAACGATCTTCCCTCAACAATATCTCCTGAAAATATTGATAGTCTATCGTAGGCAGCTTTTTCAATTAATATTATCTTACAAACAAAATGACCTGTTAGCAGCCAAAATGTTTTTGGCCTATTTTATTACAAAGCTGTAATGAAAGTATACTTGGCTGGGTCTGCTGTTTAATTAAAAGTTGCTCTCAAATGTTTATTTTTCAACTAATACAAACAATAAAATGCCATGGCAATATTTCGTTGTTGCATCAGTTGTCAGCGTGTGATTTAAGTAAGCCAATCAGGAAGTCAATTTTACGACAGGTGGCATAGCCCTCAAGAAAACAGGCCATACATTTAAGTCTATTTAAAAATTAATACACCTATTTATACTAAAACAAAAACGCGCATTTAAATGAAACTAATATGATAATTTTTCTTTAATGATATAGACAGGTAAACCGTAAAAACACGTACTAGGTTATTCACTCTGCACCCGACTTGCTAAAAGGTTGCTCCACTTGCTAGCCGGTGTCATATTGTGTGCGCACTGCTTGTTCCCAGCTTTTTGACTCCGACAAAGGATCAAGACTAAAATACTACACGAGCAGTGAGCACTACAGAATACATAAGACCTATACTTTTACATGTACATATGACTTAAGCAGTACTTATGACGAAGGACTTAAAAGTACTTACTGCAGGTAGTAAGACTTGTTACTTTTCCTTGACGAGCTTACTTGTTTTACGAGCCCACGCTTTTTGACTACGTAAACTGTCATGGTATTTTTCGTTCAAAACTATTCGTTCACGAGTGTGTTACTGTGTTGGTTCACGAGTGCTGGATATCATAATAGAAAGAGCAAGTATAGCATAGTTTTTTACCGCAAAAGGTTGCCACTGCAGCCTTTGTGGCCATGCCAGCTCTGGATTACAAATTAAATATTTTGAGCTTTCGATTCAGTACTTTGGTGCTCCGCAGTCTTTGACTTTGCTGGAATATTAATCAGTTTCCACCACTCATGTATGGTCACAATAGACCCATCCTCGTCCCCGGGACCTCTTGGCCGCGCGCGTCCTCCCTAGGCACACGGAACCGGAAGTGCAAGAAAACGTGCAGTAGTTTCTAAAGCGTATGCTCTTGACTTGGGACTCTTTAGCACCCGTAACAATTTTCACAGCGAAGTATTATGAAGAAACCGCGAAGTATTTGTGTTGACATTTATTGATAGAATAATTTTGCCTAGCGAAAACTACTCAACTTCTGCGAAATAGCAGTTCTCTGAGAAGCCAATCAGATCTCTCCCTTTTGTCGTCTAACCCAAAGCCTAATTTTCAACGAGTGACCGAGTGAAAATGGCTCTGGGGACGAGAATGCAATAGACCAAGTTAACTAAAAAGTATGCAAATTGCCCATTTCAATGTTTATATACTTTTAAAGGTGATCTACAGTCCGTATGTAAACAAAGCCTTTGTTTACATTTTTGTGTCCAAAATATTGAGCTTTATTCGACAACTATTTATATTTTCAAGCTTCTAGAGTATAATAAATGATCAAGAAACAACAATCAGGCTTTTCAAGAACTAAAAACATAGTTAAACTGTTTGTATCATAAAAAGTGGGCTCATTTGTGCACATGCGCAGATCGGACTGTAGATCACCTTTAAGCGATGGGTTCTTTTTTACATCTAGTCAAATGAATATTGTCATTGAGGTACGAAACAGTACATTCTGACTAACCAAAATATTACATTTCCTGCTTGCACTCCTTTTATAATACAGCCCGGAATTTGGAGAATTACGGTCTGCTAAAGGCTAAACTGGAAGCGTAATCGTGTTCCGTGTCGTCGCACTACTCGACTGGTTAAAAAGCTTGTCAATTTGTTCAATTCTGTGAAGTATGTATCGTTCTTGTAATGCATTTCATGCGCGGAAATATATTTATATGCTCATACTGTATTTTGTTCTGTTTGGACTTGGTTGATTTTTTTCTTGATTTATACTTTTTTGGTCACTTTGGATTTGTAGCATGTAGCTGTTCACTTTTGCCCAATCTCCTCGCATCTCACAGGGTGTATCAGAAACAATTTTGAAACGACTCTCAATTTCACAAATCCGTTCATGTCATGAATTTTTTTATAAATATAGCTTGTTTGGGTACTAATAATGTAAAATAACCGAAAAAATTTTCGTTAAAATTGTTTTTACTTTTTTACAATAACAATATGCAAATTAGGTAAATGCATGAATTAGCTAGGCATGCGTGAAAGGCATTGCCATTGGTGCCAAAAAATGAAAGTTCCACTAGCTATTTAAAGGACTTAAAATTGAGCAAATTTTCTGATATTTGCCAATTTGGACCGTTAACAAATTTCTCGCCCATGAACTCAAAATGCGTTTTAACCTTTTAAATTTCGCGCGCAAGCTATTATTTTTAATGCTGCTAAAAAAGACACCCAAACTTTCGTAAACTACAAAATTTATCTAGTTTCCGAAACTTTTTTTGTTTATTCTTCATTATAGTGTCCAAACAATCTATATTTATAAAAAAATTCATGATATGAGCGTTGTGAAATTGAGTGCCGTTTCAAAATTGTTTACTTTTTTCCGATACACCCTGTATATAATATAAAGGACGTGACTGAAACTTTGTCAGTTTATAGCAGGGCGCTTATATATATATAATAGTATATAAGCGCCCTGGTTTATAGATATCTAATGTTATAATATATTCTCCAAGTTCCTACCCAAAGATTAGAACATGATCATGACACCCACCCGGCCAATCAGAATCTATATACTACCTTAAAAAATAAGCAGAAACTCGACGCTCGAAACGTCGATATAACTCAGCACAGCATTTTCACATTGATACTACCCACACTGGTACAGACAGTTTTAGTATATTTGTATGGTCTATATCTCATAAACTGTCTCACAGCAACCTTCATAGCAATTACAGTGGGTCTATATAACTCATTAGTATGCTCTAGATAGAGCATACTAATGAAGCATTCAAAAGATAAACAAAGCCTTATTCGTATGATCTACAGTATATACAGCATACTAATCAGATATTGAGCATTGCAGCATAATCAGTTCAATAAATTCACTACGAGTATTAATCGATAAATTTTAAAAATATAAAGAAAGGATTAATTCTTTGTGAGGATTAAAAAAAATACCCGTGGTTCATGGCCAGTTCCCGACCAACCCTATATTTTTCTGTTGACCCTATTATTTTTTCAATGCGATTGACCGTGCGACCCTATTTTCTCCGGGTGGTTGCAGGCTGCTCAAACAGTGCCAAAATGGCATCTGTTGTCACACTAATTAATTAAATTAATTATTGAACAGAATTGCCTAAATTTGTCCATAGGAAATATGCATCACTAGTTAACATTGATGTCGGTACTCTACTGCAAATTGCCCAGCAAAAACCGCCAAAAGCATGAAAAAATATTCGAAAAAAATTTGTTTCTAACCTACCAACCCTAATTTTTTCACGATATGAAACAGGAACCACAGGTATTTTTTTAGGCCTGAATGTGATCATGTTCTAAGGTCGGATAGACAATCATGATCAGTTGTGTTCAGTGGGATATAGTTGGACAGGCCATTCAGCCACTGAACACACATTGATCATTGTTTATCCTTTACATAGTAAATTAGTCCTAATTATAATTATTATATTAAAATCACTCTGACTATTAAAGTGTAACTAATGTTTTCTTTTATTGCCAAAAAATCGTTTCTTGGCAAAACGTACAATTAGAAGCATCCATACAAGACTAAGTGTATACAAAGCTACACCCCCAAGTTTGATAAGTATAGATGGCTTTGGTGAGATCATGGTATTAGTAAATAATCGAGCACCCACTCCAATACGTATACACAGGAACAACACTATAAACACAATATCATTAAGTTTAGCAAGTCGTGTCTGGTATTTGCCTGTTTCACGGAAAAACCACCTGATCTGTAGGCTGGGATTCGATATTTCTGAGCCAAATATGGTCGCAATGAGTTCTGCCCCCGAATGTTCCAGATAAAGAGATAAAACCAGGCCGCATATGGATGTTATATGATGAAGTAACATGTCAATTCCTTCCGTACCCATAACAATGCACCAAATAAAATCAAATAAAAAGTATCCCAATGTTATAACAATGCAGAGAGTCTGAAGAGGGGTACTGGGCTCACCCAAAGCATCAAATGGCCATGGTCCAGTATAAGATCCACAGTACATACAAATGGTACAACTTAATATACCATGGACGATGGTTACTATACGACAGTTCCATTCCAGGCTTCGTTTGTTATTGAAGACACAAAGCATGTAATACACTGTTGTCCATAAGCAGAAAAATGATAGTACAGCTAAAAATGATGTCGTCATATGAAAAAATTCTGAGCTGTTGGGAATCCAAAATTAGAAACAGCAGATCAGAGGTGATAGACAATTTATATGTCTTCCCAGTATCTGAAAAGAAAAAGACAAAATAATCAATAAATACATCTTATGCAATTATTAATAATGGAAATATGGTTACATGCATCTTGAATGCATGAATGTGCATCAATGGAAAGATGCATAATTGTGCATCAACGTCAATTTGGCAGAGATGGATTTCATATTTTCGTTCGGGGTGTGTGGATAAATATCAACAAAATTTGTTTTCTAGGCCTGCCTTCTATGGCGAGATCTGAGACCATAATATTGGTAATTTTACAAATTTAGTAGTAAGAATAATCAAATATGAAACTATCAAATCAAAATATATACAATTTGCGGGGGTGGAAAAATTTTTGGGGGCGGTGCCAAATGCCTCTGGGGGGTGCAAATCATTTCTGGGGGGTGCATCCCCGCAACCCCAGAAAATCCGTGCCTGCAATTTGGTTTCCTAAACCAATTTTAAAAAGGCAGTCCTCAATCAGAATTTTGGACATAATTAATAACTAATTGTCGAAGGAATTTGTAGATGGAAATTTCAAGTGGAATTTAATTTTTATACATTTATTAGACCTAACCAGGAGCAGTTGCAAAAAAATGCAACCATCGCCATCGGACCTCTGGCAGGAATCGAACCTGTGGCCCTGTGATTCCATCGGGTGCAGGAATCGAACCTGTGGCCCTGTGATTCCATCGGGTGCAGGAATCGAACCTGTGGCCCTGTGATTCCATCGGGTGCAGGAATCGAACCTGTGGCCCTGTGATTCCGGTCGGGTGCAGGGCTCCAAGCAAGCTGCAGATCGAGAGACAGTTGTCGAGCTCTAACCACAAGTTCATGTATAAATACTAAAGTGATGCCAATGTATGATGTATGGGTAAATATCAGGATTTTGGCCATCTTACTCGATGTAACAAATTGTTGAAGGGATTTCTGGATGGAAACCTCCAGTGGAGTTATATATTGTTATAAAATATTAATCTTATACTGTCTATACTAGCTCGTTAGCATCTTTGACTATAAATTGATACTTTTATATAGTCACAGTTCTATATTATTAAATGTCGAGATGTTAATATACAGTATACACAGAGCCAAATTTATTTGAAACTACAAATATTTAGGTTTGCCGCAGCTTTCAAGGTACTGTATATACATCGTTAGCAGACTAGACTAACTTTTGCAGCTGTCATCATTTTTTTGTGATCGCTATGAAAGATTTGTCCGTCTCTAACCAACAAGATAAATATAAAATATATATGGAAGAAATTAGTATGCTAACTTATTATCGACAGAATGATCAACTAACCTGAAACTGTAGTAGAATTTGATACTTTTCTATCGAGTCCAAACTACTCTCAGCTCTACGGCAGGATTGTAAACACATGTGATAAATGATAATTTTAATTCGATCATTCGATATTCCTCAGCGAATCAAGAATTCAGAAATCAGATTAAAAATTCAGAACACTCGATTTGAGTGGGCGGATGGGCGGTGCTTCGCGCGCATTTGCCGTAGTTAATATCAAATTACAGTAACAAAAGGAAATAATAGATCTTTCTTACTAGTAACTAATTTTCCACTTGGCGGGATTTTGCGCGCAGAGCGGAATTTTTCTTTGTCTTGTGATTTATCGGGTGGAACTAATTAGAAAAGACAAAGAAAGATTCCGCGCTGCGCGCAAAATTCCGCCTAGTGGAAAGCCGGCTTTAAGAAGGTCTAATTGGAGCTAGATTTCTAAAGTTCTCGTTTTTTATACACGGCCAAAAACGAGACCCTTAGAAATCTACCCCTATTACTGAATCAAGCTATTGTTGGAATTTGAATGCATAGCACTATGCTGACCCCACATGCGTATAAAATAGAATTTTATGCATGAAACTTTAATTTGGTTTCGTCAAACATATAGTGAATTATGTGCTGATTAATTTATTATCGCAGCACTGAAAATAGTAAAAACTCGTTGCTTTGTGGTAATTTGACAATACAAATCGGCAAGCAGTCAAAATTTTTAGTTCCGTTTTCAGTAGCACAGTTTCTTCAGTTTAGTACGCTTTTTTACAGACTAATAGAATAGGAGACTACAATACACCGAATACTGGATTAGTGGGTTATTTAACTTTAATTTAATTAACTGGGATGAATTTTCATTAAAAGTCGACAACTTGCATGTTGTTTATCTAGGCAAAAAAAAAGTATAAAGTTCACGGAAAGAACTTATTAAAGCCGGGTTACAGTCCGTTCTGCGCATCGGTTCTGCTCATAACAAAGGTAGACTACTGGATTTCAAAATTGTGCAAATTTCGCATGTTTTGTATATTTCTGAACATAAACACTAGCTCATACTTATTTAAAAGTATAGCGAACCAAAATAGTGTTAAATTTTCTGACAGTTCATAATATTTTAAGAAATATAGCAGTTCAAAATGTAAACAAAGCGTTTGTTTACATTATGGACTGTAACCCGGCTTTAAAATTAGTAAGATTGCAAAATTTGGTTACGAAATGTTGTAAATGTTTGTATGTTTGTATTACGTGCGGAAATTGTTACCATTTTTGAGCCGAAAATGGTAACAATTTCCGCACGTAATACAAACATATACAAAATTTGCAACTTTGCAAGACTATATTTTCCAAGCATTACAACATTTCGCAATCAAATGTTGCAATTTTACTACAAATTTCATTGTGTTCTTTTTAGCTGTGCTGTTTTATTCTCTTCCGTTTACTTCGATTAAAATTTAGTCTAACATGAAAGTTGTCCATTGCAAAATGTTTTTGTAAATTAGGGGCGGACCATTTGGTGTTTTTTTTTGGAGGGGGGGCTACATGGAATTTCTAAATATACAAAGCCCCACTGATCCCAATATAAAATAGCTTTTGTCATAATCATATGTCGTTATACTTCATGTAATACTCAGATAGTGGCTCTTTCTCCGACAACATGGCGTCTTGGGTTGAGGAATTATTTCCACCAAAGTTTAAAGTAAACGACTTGTTTGACAACGATCAGACGAAACCAACTCATCCACGGTCAAATGAACGTTTACGGAAAATCTATGAAGATGTGTTTGAAGAAATGCTTTCGACTAGAAAAGATACAGAAGTATTTGAACATGGTAGACAAGGCATGCAAGCTGCAGGAGAAGAGGTTGGGAAAAATACTATTAAATTTGTTAAATATTGACTGGCATGAAAATTTAAAATTAATTTTGGAAATAAAGCTCAGCATATAACTGGGGGTATGCCCTTACTCAGGCAGTAAGGGACGGTCGGCAAATATAGACTTCGTCCTGCTTCGCTGACTATTAAAGACTTGTTCCTCGAAGAGGAGAGGAGAGAATCTGGGATTACAAAATAATCAGAATGAAAACAGACTAATACAAAAATCCACCACATCACTTGCCAGTTACCAACAATCTGTGAAAAAAACGTCAAATATGGCATGCTGCTGTCCCTTGAAATATTTTGATGCAATTACTGCTGAAATAGTGTTTGTCCAGACTGGAAAGTTTGGAAATTGCCTGCGCCGGAGATTTCGAAAATTTAATAGTAAATATATAGAAAGCATCAAAATTGCGCGCCGGAGATATCCGCCGCGCGATACAAACTTTCCACACTTGGTGTTTGTGACTTTGTGGCCGACTATTTGTCGCTCCACGCTGTTCGTGTTCAAAACAAACTTTGGTTCAAAATTGAGATCAATGCATACTCATTTGGAGAATACTTTTGCATCTCTGAGTCATTATAAATATACCAGAAACAATAGCTTACTGTTGGAACCCTATCTTTGATACTGTATATGGCTGAATAGACAAAATTTAATTTAGTTTGTGTGACAAGACATTTGACTGGCCCGATTGGGGGGGGGGCAGAGCCATCGGAAGAAGTCTGCGAAATGGGACAAAATCTATTTGTCAACTGTCTTACTGTCCCTAATTATGCGACTTGACTCCAGTGGTTTTTTCCAGAAATCTTTGGTTGATAGCTGAATAGCTGAGTACAAAAAAAAAACCATGACCAGCCGACAATTTAAAAAAATAAAGTAAAAAACAAATTCCGAAAATACAGGACATCTTGAGAATTCAATATATAATTCAAAACAGGACGCAGTTTGAGACTGTAAATTTTCGACTTTATTTCAAAGTCATCTTCAGACAGAATGAAATACAATACTTTACAACACATATATATACAATGCAGAGAGAGAGCATCTGTCATGTGGGGGGAAAGAAGGATTATCCAAGCGAAGCGAAACATGATAAAGAAAATAGTAATAACTGAAAATGGAATATTTAGCTATATTTACAACAATGTTTAATATATTAAAAGGATTAAGGTAGAAAGGGAAAGACCCGACATGTAGAAGAAGATTGAGTTAAAGTGTTATGTGAACAGTTGTAGTTCTTTACTAGCTTTAAGTCCAGTGTTAAGAAAAGGTTTGTTGTGTTTGATAAGCAGTGCTTCAAGAAAAGCAAGAATGTTGTAATTGCTAGATTCGACAATGTGAAGTATTCTGTAGCTGTTCAAAACAAGGTTTTCAATAGGAGAAGAGTTGTTAGAGGGCAAAGGAAGATCGTTGAGTAATGTGAACTGGTCTTGTAAAGTTGCTAAGAATTGAGCATGTTCACACTCAGAAAAATGTTGGCCCACTGCACTAGAAGAGAGCCTAGTTGCATGCTCTTTCAAACGTACAGACAGGGCATCTTTGTGTCATGCCAATATAGGTTTTGCCACAACCAGGGCAAGCGACCTCGTATACAAGATTACTACGAGATAAAGGAGGAAGTTTATCTTCGTTGGAAACAAAATAAGAGAGCTTTTTAGTGTCATAAATAGTGATGAACTTAACCGGTTTAGAAAGAAATCTTTGTATTTTATTAAGACATGATTTTAAAAGAAAATCGCCACGGTTTCCGAGATAAGGAATACGAATCCAAATTTTAGGCAACATATCATCATCCGTGTCATGATTAACGGCATCGAAAGTAGAACTATCAATAAATTTGGTTTTAAGCTTTTTAATCAAAAAGTTTCTAACGCCATTAGGATAACCATTCCAAGACATAAAAGATTTGATAGTTTCAATTTGATTGTTGAAAAGTGTTTTCGAACTGCAAATTTTAAAAGCTCGGTAGAACAGAGATTTTACCCATGCAGTTTTGCGATGAAAAGGCTCGAAACTTGAAAAATGTGAATACTGACCGGTGTGGGTGTCCTTACGATAAATGTCAGTACCATCAACCGAGACTTTTACAGTGTATGTCTAAAAAATGAACTACGCCATCGGGAAATGTATCAACTGTGAAATTTAAGTTCGGATCGAAACTATTGAACTTAGCTAAAACCGCGGAAATATTGGAAGGTTTTATCAAAACAAGAGTGTCATCAACGTAACGTTTGTAGAATTTTATAGTACCATCGGCAATCAACTCGGAAACTATTAATCTTTCAAATTCAGTCAAAATTATATTAGCTAAGACAGGTCCTAATGATGAACCCATAGAAACACCGTCTTTTTGGACATAAATTTGCTCGTCAAAAGAAAAGGCAGTTTTGTTGCAACAATCCAAAATGAGTTTCTTCAAAGTGCGCTTTTTCAAAGTGGTTGCAATTAATTCGTCTTTATAAATACGGTCTAGAACAATTTTGACTGTGCAGGAAAGTGGAACGTTGGTAAAAAGGGATTCAACATCGAAAGAAACGAACTGGTAGCCTTCTTGAAACAAATGTTTCTATGGGTTCATCATTAGGACCTGTCTTAGCTAATATAATTTTGACTGAATTTGAAAGATTAATAGTTTCCGAGTTGATTGCCGATGGTACTATAAAATTCTACAAACGTTACGTTGATGACACTCTTGTTTTGATAAAACCTTCCAATATTTCCGCGGTTTTAGCTAAGTTCAATAGTTTCGATCCGAACTTAAATTTCACAGTTGATACATTTCCCGATGGCGTAGTTCATTTTTTAGACATAAACGTCTCGGTTGATGGTACTGACATTTATCGTAAGGACACCCACACCGGTCAGTATTCACATTTTTCAAGTTTCGAGCCTTTTCATCGCAAAACTGCATGGGTAAAATCTCTGTTCTACCGAGCTTTTAAAATTTGCAGTTCGAAAACACTTTTCAACAATCAAATTGAAACTATCAAATCTTTTATGTCTTGGAATGGTTATATCCTAATGGCGTTAGAAACTTTTTGATTAAAAAGCTTAAAACCAAATTTATTGATAGTTCTACTTTCGATGCCGTTAATCATGACACGGATGATGATATGTTGCCTAAAATTTGGATTCGTATTCCTTATCTCGGAAACCGTGGCGATTTTCTTTTAAAATCATGTCTTAATAAAATGCAAAAATTTCTTTCTAAACCGGTTAAGTTCATCACTATTTATGACACTAAAAAGCTCTCTTATTTTGTTTCCAACAAAGATAAACTTCCTCCTTTATCTCGTAGTAATCTTGTATACGAGGTCGCTTGCCCTGGTTGTGGCAAAACCTATATTGGCATGACACAAAGATGCTTTTCTGTACGTTTGAAAGAGCATGCAACTAGGCTCTCTTCTAGTGCAGTGGGCCAACATTTTTCTGAGTGTGAACATGCTCAATTCTTAGCTGAGTACGGTACCATAGATACCACAAAGCTACATTTGCCCCCTGTGCAACAACCTAAAATCCTTCCTTTCCAATATTTCGCAAAATAGATTGATGGTCCATTTAAATACAGCATATATGGCCCATTAACCATGAAGTGTCCACAACTGTTTGATGACCTCCTGAAATTTGTATATTTTTAAATTTGGAGTTGTTAAGAAGTCTCATTTTGCATGCCCAAATCAAACTCATCAAAGTCACTGTAACTTGAGTTATTTCTTTCAAGTCTAAGACTCTAAGTCAAGTGAGTAATTTTGTCTGTAACCGTGCAAGTTGCATCAGTGATGCCGTACAATTCTTTTAACAACATACTTGGGGTATCACCCAATCATGTACATTAGTCATTACAGGCTCACAATCTAGAAAGGACTGAATTAGGTTTTATGCAACTACACTACAGTATTCATTCAGATCTATCGTAATGTGCATGTTGTATGCAATTATTGGACCAAAGTTGCCACTGGCTGGCTCTTAGATTTGTCAGTGGTTCACAGATTATTGATTTGCCTCTGCCTTCAGCAAATAATTGAACTGCCACCAGTGACAATTCATGATTATTTTGCTCGTGCAATCTTCTCCTACATTTGTATATAACAATATTAGCTGATGTGAAACTATTATTAGTGATCACAGCACAACTAAATAGTGCAATTAATTTCCTGTGGTCTGTGTGGACCAACTAACATGCCTAACATGTTGCTATTCCTACACTGTCGATTGCACAATGCAGTCATGATTAATGGAATATTTTATTACAATTGTTACATAACGCAGCTGCATTACACTAGATTTAATCTAATGTTCTAATAGAGTCGGTATTAATTTAAGCCTCTTCTGTTACTTTAATTTTATTCTCTAAGGCAAGACAATTTCATTTCAACCACAATCCCAAATACTATGAGCAAAAATACACCTTACCTCCTTCTTACCTGTTACAGTCCAACTTCTTTGATTAATTGCTCTTAAATTATTAAAACCAGTGACAAAAACTGTGGAAGATGAAGCATTATTTATTATATGGCAAACATAACTTCCGGTGAAATGGCGGACTGCATGTGATTATAGCTGAGAAGCACTTTCAGCGGTCCATTATTTTCCCGTAATGGATCGGCGGTCCATTACGTAAAAACAAACGGATGCATTTTAAAACAAAACAGCAAAACTAATTGAAAATTTGAAAATTATAATTTAATTTGTTACCGGTATTAATAAGATATCTGCGAATGGTTTTTAGTGGAAAAGAAGGAATACATTGGTATTTTTTGTTTTCTTCGACCAAATGTGTATGCATTATTGCATTTCAAATCATGCATTTCTTGTTTGTTTCAAGTAAAATGCCTATATAAATGCCATATAATAAACTTTTTATTAACCTCGCTTGCTCGGTATGTAAAATCCTCACCCTACGGGCTCGGTCTGTACAAAAAAGACATCAGTCCGATATTTCTCTGTACAGACCTCGCGTTCGGTTAATAAGAAGTTAATAATGTAAAACTAATTACGAATCTTTTACGAAAGTAAGAGTCTAAGAGATGCCCCTGGTTCCAAAAACTACATGACTTTGTCCATATTTATTATTTTCAATCCCCTCCCCCTAGCCTTGCAATGAACCACCAGTAACAAGATTTGATTTAAATTTCTAGGATAGTCCTATTACGGTTGGCAGTCCGAAAATTACTGCAACAGAGCCAAGTCAGGTAAGCAATTCAAAGTTAGTTTGCAAAGAAACGAGATCTGAAGACGGTGAAGGTAAATGTGTATGGAGTACGGAAGAACTGAAAGTACTTCGTAATTCTTTGAAGTGTTCAAAATTAAACAATATTCGCTTGAGTGTCCTCACACAAGCACTGCAAAAAGACTGCGAGCGTGTCAGGAATACCTGCCAGGAACAAGCAAGCGAGATTCTAAAATTAAACAAGAAGTATAATGATGTCAGGAAACAAAATAGAGCGATGAAAATAACTTGCAAGGCTTTCAAAGAGGACGCAAAGAACGCTCAAGAAAATTTAGAAGACTGCCAATGTCGGTTTGAAGATGCTATCAGAGATAAAAAGTCAGCAGAACTTGAACTGGTCAAAATGAAACACGAGTTAGAAGCTGTCCAAAAACAAAACAAGGTGTTGCAGTTCGAATTCGAAAAACAACAGATGTTGCAGGAGAAACTTTTGGAGAATCAAAATATTTCTCTTAGATCACTTTATGAAAGAGAAATAACAGATCTGCTTGAAAGGTTGGATAAAACTGAGATTTGTCTGGAAAAGGAAAAGAATGAGCATACCATAACAAAAAAGGCTTTGGCTCATTTGCGGTTACACTTCGCAGAGGAGGGGCCTTAGCTTTGATATTATTTCAGTGTTTCCTGTGGTCTGAGAAGAAAACGAAAACTAGTTCGGCAAAGTGCATGATGACTCCGTCATTTTGTCTTGTGCACATTGCTGCAACGCGATACCATATATTGTCTGCTTCATTTTGTACTTTTTCTATCATCAATCTGTAGTGCGGAATGTGTCAACAAGTAATGCTTTGACCGGTGTTTGTCTAGTGATATTTTGTCTAGAGATATTTGCGATATTTGATGAACCTGTAAAATCTGCAATAAAAATTCCATCACAGAATAAAGGAATGAACCTACACTTTACCTATATTACTTTATCAAGTTATATTGTTGCAATTGAACCTTTAGTATAACTGAACCACTCATACAATTGTTTCTTATCAGAAGCTGTCATTGCAAGGAAGTACGGCCCCGTATTTGCATGCTCTCATGAGAGCCAAAACCCCACGATAACGTTTCGTTTTCATTTCCATTTCTGCGTAAAATGAATTATTAGCAAAACTGTGTCTTTAGTATGCTTTACGTATAGAGCTATATATGCAGGTAGCCTATAGATATACACTAATAAAATTACTTGATTACATAAACTCACTACAAGTCAACGTAATTATTAACTACCAAAAATTATACAAACATGAACAGCGACAAGAAATACATTTATTGTAATTATATATATAGTCTGTCGTTTCTTTAAACCCAACAAATTATACATTTACAAGTTCTTTGTATGTTTGCATGGCGATAAAACATATAATAGTTTTGTTTGTGGAAACACCACGTAAATTTATTACTGCAAAGCCTTCGATCCGTAAGCCCGGATCTTCATCAGTGCTAATAATATGCGACATAGGTTCGCCAACGTATGCCCTGGCTAAATATCTCGCTGAGATATTGAAACCAGTTGTTGGAAAAACAGAACATCGTGTAGTAAATTCTAAAGAATTTGTAACAAAAATGGAACCAATAGATTGGGTATAAGAATGACATTCTGGTAAGTTTTGACGTAGTTAGCTTGTTCACAAATGTTCCAGTTGAAGAGGCTTGTAATATCGCGAAAGAAAGACTTCTTTCAGATATTACATCATCTCAAAGAACTAATCTTTCTCCTGAGAATGTTCATGATTTGTTGAAACTATGTTTGACCACGACATGTTTTCAATGGCGGGAGAAATTCTATAAACAAACAAACGGCGCTCCAATGGGAAGTCCATTGTCGCCTGTTATGGCTAATTTGTTCATGGAGGAATTTGAAAAGAAAGCCTTAGCTACTGCAACGTTGAAACCTGGTTTCTGGTTCAGATACGTGGATGATACATTGAGTAGCTGGTCTCATGGACTAGATAATTTACAAAAGTTTCTAGACCACATTAATAGTTTGCATCCATCGATCAAGTTTACTTTTGAAGTACAGAAGGATGATAAAACTATACCATTCTGTTAACTATACATGATGATGGATCATTAGGACATAAGGTTTATAGGAAACCAACACACACAGACAGGTATCTGCAGTATAATTCATTTCATCATCCTAGTATTAAAAACTCTGTGTGTAAGACACTCATCAACCGAGCGAAAACAATTTGTGACGTAAGTAACATTGACGATGAATTAGAACATTTAAGAAATGTTCTAAAAATTAATGGTTACCGACGACATTTCATAGATAATGCTATGAAAACACCACAAAGTATACATCAGAAGATTGAATATCAGTCGTCTGTTTGTCTACCATACATTGGTCCGGCTTCACACAAAATCGAAAGAATTTTGAGGAATGAAGCAGGTATAAAGGTATACCATTCCAGCGAAAACAAATTGTTTCGAGCTCTTTGCACACATAAAGACAACGTAAATGAATCTCAGAAACCTGATGTGTACCGCATTCCTTGTGAATGTGGTCTGGTTTACATTGGTGAAACTGGTCGAAATCTCTCAGTACGTCTTAAGGAACACAAGACGAATTGCGAGAAAGCCGAGCAAATTAAATCTGCTGTGGCTAAACATACTTGGACTTACGACCATCGTATAAAATGGGACGAAGCAACCATTTTGGCGATTGATAGTCATAAGTTCTCTCGCAAAATGAGAGAGTCAATTGAAATCGAGAAGCACAATACTATAGATCGGGAGGGAAAGCCACTAGATAGTACGTGGCGTGCTCTCTTTGATGTGCAAAATTAATTTCTTTTGTCTTGGATGCGCGCGCGTTAATTGGAATCACGTCACTACGTTTGAAATGACGTGGTTGATGTGCCGTTTAATTAAATTTTAAGTGACGCGAGCCAACAGATCACGACACTTTTGTATATAAAAAGGGCGTGTGAATTAAACAAGTCGCATATTATTAGCACTGATGAAGATCTGGGCTTACCGATCGAAAACTTTGCAGTAGTAAATTTACGTGGTGTTTCCACAAACAAAACTATTATAAACTAGGTTGCCCACAGGGCAGTAATGCTGCCTTTGACAGCAAAAGACAAACTACATGGTGTTGAACAAGTCCTTCAGAAACATCCTATTATTGTTATCCTTGTTACATACATGTCCAGTACCTATGCAAGATGTCCAATGGAATAATCAGAAGGCCATTGGACATTCCATTTGTCAAATGGATCAAATGGACCTCCAATTTTCCATTGGACTTTTGCGTGTCCATTGGATCCAATGGACAAATGGAATGTCCATTGGCCAGCAATGGATCAACTATCGGAACTATGCATCACCCGAATAACAGACTATGTGAAGGTTGCCGATCGGAACAATGCCAAACCGGATAAGAGCTTCCGCGTTTTTACCATTACGTAATTAACAGGTTGCAAGACTCCATGTGGACATGATTATGAAACCAGAGAGATGTTCCAATGTTCCAATGGTCCAATGGATCCAATGGATCCAATGGACCAATTATTGTCCAATGGAATTTTACCTGTCCATTGGATCCAATGGACAAAATAGCCTTTCCATTGGAAAATTACCTGTCAATTGGTCCAATGGGAAAATAATATGGAAGTCAATAGACATTTCTTATATCAATAATATAACAATATGTTATTGCTTCGTTCTTAAAAACTCACGCAATATCATATAGCAATATATAATATGTTGTTGTTTCTTTCTTAAATTAAGAAACCTACACGCAATATATCAATATAATATGTTGTGCTTGTCATTACGTCACTCAAATACATGGTAATTGACCAACTGAAAAAGCAAATGTCCGATGGAAATTCCACTTGTCCATTGGATCCAATGGACAAACAAAACTCCAATGGACATTTCCAGGTCCATTGGATCTATTGGATCCAATGGACACTTTCGTTTGGCCATCTCACTGGCCTTGTATCTACATGATGTCCATGTGCTTGTCATTACGTCACTCAAATACATGGTAATTGACCAACTGAAAAAGCAAATGTCCGATGGAAATTCCACTTGTCCATTGGATCCAATGGACAAACAAAACTCCAATGGACATTTCCAGGTCCATTGGATCCATTGGATCCGATGGACACTTTCGTTTGGCTATCTCACTGGCCTTGTATCTACATGATGTCCATGTGCTTGTCATTACGTCACTCAAATACATGGTAATTGACCAACTGAAAAAGCAAATGTCCGATGGAAATTCCACTTGTCCATTGGATCCAATGGACACACAAAACTCCAATGGACATTTCCAGATCCATTTGACAAATGAAATGTCCAATGGCCTTTTGATTTTTCCATCGGACATCTTGCATGGGTATTGGACATTAATCCCTTGTTAACCCATTTATTGACAGTACCCTACCACTGACTGAGTATTAAAAATCGTCTGGCGTTGGACAGGGTAAATACTAAAGTAGGGGTCATTACTGTGTTGATGAATTAACAAGAGCCACTGGCAGATAGGTTTGTTAACCCATTTACTGGCAGTACCCTATACCACTGACGAGTAAAATCTTCTGGCGTTGGACAAGGGAAGGGCGCATTGCCAGCTAATGGGTTAAACTACCGTGGTTAAACATAAGATTTCATGATGCTCCAGGAAATGTAAACAAGCTATCAGTGTGACATCCCAGTTTATATATTTATATACTCGGAATATTGATTTCTCGGTATATACAAAATTATTTTAAAGTATAACAACCAGCGAAGACGTAAGCCACTAACTACCCTGCTACTACCAGACTATATAATGACATATATATGTCATCCGTCCGGTCCGTCCGTCGCCATCCGTCCGTTTTATCCTAACCCGTTTTTAAAACACAAAGTTTGCATTTAATTAAGGCAGTGCGGTTCGTCATGATCAACATTTTCAAAAGCGGCCAATTAGACCAGGGGTTAAAGGGCAATGACAATGACATGCAGGTGACATTTAACATTGCGTCTCACTAATTAAAATTTACGGGTTTAATAATGTTTATCAAAGAAAGCAAAAATGTATACTGTATACAAGACAATCTCACATGTGGAATTTTTTCTCTTACGTACTGCCTTGTGATGCAGTACAAGTATAAACCTTAATATTACAAGGTTGCCTTAAAACCCTATTTGACTTTAGGCCATATTTTCGCAAAGCCAAAAGATCCTGTTGAAAAAAATCAGAAGACTCGTGCTATATATTCTATACCATGCGGTGACTGCGACAAAGAGTATTTGGGTCAGTCTAAACGCCAGTTTGGTACACGGCTGAAAGAACATTAAAAGGCTGTTTCAACTTTAGACAAGGGCAAATCAGCTTTAGCCGAACATGTATGTTACACCAAACACGAGATTGCGTGGGAAAACTCTAAAGTAATTACCACAAACAATCGCTATGGTCAAAGACTTTGCCTAGAAGCGTGGCATATAAATATGAGTCATCATGCTTTGAATAGGGATGACGGCGCCTATTTGCCAGAGGAATATATGCATCTTCTTGGCAGGTGACGTCATCCCTTGGGTATTTAAGAAGCCACGATCGCAGTTTTAGATCACCCCTGATGAAGACACTAGACTGGAGTGTCGAAACGTTGGGTCTTGATTACAATTCGACTGGGCTTTATAATCATTTATTTAAACCAGAGTAGCGAGCGAAACATGATTGATATACCTGGTTGCAGTGAACGAACAAACTTTAAATGACAAAGCATTTGTAAATCCTAAAACATAATTAAATCATACGGCACATTTAAGATTTTAATATCGTATTTCAGCCGCGTTTATACTGTTTGGCGCAATTGCTGCGTTATATTCATTTATATACACAGAAAAGCATGTCATTGTCCATGCAGACCATAGGCAAAAAGCATTTGTCAGCCACATACCAAATTTAAGCAATCGTTAAATCATATACATGTCATGGAAAGAATATGGAAATAATGTTGAATGAAAGCTAGCATCGCGTATAATGTTAAAAGCACCGCATATAGTGCTCGAACCACTGCGTATAATTGCAAAAGCACCGCGTATATAAATTGTGAAAGCACCGCGTATAATGCTGGAACCACAGCGTATAATGCGGGAACCACCGCGTATAATGGCGAAAGCACCGTGTATAATGCCGAGAGCACCGCCGTGTAATGCTAAAAGCATCCAACAAAATGCCATTTGATCACTTTAAGCCAGCTATGGCTTTCCATAAAAGAAGACCAAAGATGAAAGAGGATCACATTGCCTGTTTGCCTTATGCTTGACCGCGCTGCACCACGGTTGAAATTCACTGGTACCGTCATGCAATGCGCCAAATAGAAAATTTTGATTTCGACCCACAAAACAAAATTAGGATCTGCTGCCTTGCTCGCTCGCTTCAGGCTCGCTCGCTGCGGCAGCAAAAAAAGATCTTCCGCCATTTTTTTTGTTTTGGCCTGGATTTTACTGCAGTACAATTACAGTAATGAAATAATTGTACTCCTCTCAACTAGTCGGGTTGAGAGGGGTACATCGGGTTGAGAGGGGTACAACGGTATAATTATGCAGGTCAACGGTATATGGAGGTACCCTATACGCAGGTCCATCTTAACGGACTGCCCGACAACGACGCCTGCGATTCCAGAAAATCGGTATATACTTCATGTGACCCTATTATAATGTATCGGTACCCACCCCCTACCTCACCCCCTACCCCAACTCCTACCCCACCTCTACCCTAACCCCTCCCTAAGTTGAGGGGTTACTCCAAGTATCTACCAGAAAATCGGGAAAAGCCGCTGATCGACTACAAAATCGCTTTGTTGAAGAAAATTACGTAAATAACATGCATGGTATAATTTCATTAATTAAATAATGCTCTTCCAATGAGCCAAATAAAGATATCATGAAAATGAAAAAATCTAACTTTAGTTCTTAAAAATGAATCAGAAGTGAATTAAGCAGCTCACATTCCATCATTGGCAGCCCAGTTATCAGTGTTTTTGTATACTCGCGCGATAGTCGCAGGTCAATACGGGTGCCGTTCGTGTACTACATGAACGGCACGCGAGATTGACCGTCTATCGCGCGAGTCGCTACATACGAAACTGAAACACTGATATTTAGGCTGCCAATGATACTATCGCAACAACACAGTAGTTGCAATTTAGAATTTTTAAATGCCTGAACAGTCTGAAAACTCATGCATATATTTGGCCGCTGGCACTGTCAGTGGTTCATGTATTTCCGCCTGTATGCTCATTTCAAAACTTTACAAAATATAGCTTCATATGATCTAGGCATCTAGCCAAGATTTCTGGAGAAATACAGTATTTTCAAGTTTTTAAGAATGCAGTTGGGAAGTCTGCTTTAAATTTTACGTAATACAGTCGATTTCAGATAACTTTTCAATACAAATGTTCGAAACTACTTCGTTGGGAAGTCCGTTGCGAAGTCCGTGATTGATCCCTGAAGAAAAAGAAGCCAATGAAATGTGTAGTTTACAAAATGGTTTGTGAACATCATTATGAACTTCGCAACGAAGTTCGGAACATTTGTTTGAAAAGGTATCTGAAATCGACAGCAAAGGTTTAGGCATGTTTACAAGAGTGTTTTGTGCATTTCTTCCTCGATGTGTGACAACGCAAACATATGCATACGCGTATGGCGACAATTTGTGCCTTGAGGCAAATATCAGTATATCACAGCTGGTTCAGTGCAGGCATGATCCCTTCCAATTTTACATCTCGCAAATCGCAAATAGACCCCAAGCTCTTGCCGATTTCGGAATTAAAACTGTTACTTTCATTTCACAACTTCTTCGTACTCCTCCAATATCGAGAGTTTTCATTTGTACTAATTCTCGAAGAAAAGAGCAAAGGTCGTACTCATTTGGATATGTCCAAACTTACAAGCAAATGCACCGATGCATGCGCTCATAATCTCTGGATTTTGAAAAAATGCACTGGGCAGCGGATCAATCTACCGTGACGTACGTAGGTTATGTCCTCGTGTCTCGCGCACGAAAGAATGTATTATGAACATCACCACCTTTGTATAAAACCAATACCAGCCGACAATTTCAAAAAAATATAATACAAAACATAATCCGAAGATTAGCATCTTGAAACCCAAAATATGGATCAAAACAAGACGAGGATGAGTTCAAAATGAACATCAGACAGACTAAAGTTACAATAAAATACACGGTCTTATATACAGCTTTGATCATATGACGTAATTAGAAAGGAATTTTGGCAAGAGTCTGATTACAGTGAACAAGCTTTTTGTTGTTGTAAATGACGATGAAATTGTCAAATTAATAAATAAAAAATAAATAGATAAAATTTCGTTCTCCTCTAAATTCTGGTCTCAAAGCTAGCAAGGAACTTGTCTTGTTTTCCTAATCCTTTCCTAACACCATCCATAACACCTTGTTCACTGTAATCAGACTCTTGCCAAAATTATTTTCTGATTACGTCATATGATCAAAGCTGTATACAAGACCGTGTATTTTATTGTAACTTTAGTCTGTCTGATGATGATTTTGAAATAAAATCGAAATATCAAACTCATCCTCGTCTTGTTTTGATCCATATTTTGGGTTTCAAGATGCTAATCTTCGGATTATGTTTTGTATTATATTTTTTTGAAATTGTCGGCTGGTATTGGTTTTATACTAAGGTGGTGGTATGATGGCTGATGTTCATAATACATTCTTTAGTGCGCGAGACACGAGGACATAACCTACGTACGTCGCGGTAGATTGATCCGCTGCCCAGTGCATTTTTTCAAAATCCAGAGATTATGAGCGCATGCATCGGTGCATTTGCTTGTAAGTTTGGACATATCCAAATGAGTACGACCTTTGCTCTTTTCTTCGAGAATTAGTACAAATGAAAACTCTCGATATTGGAGGAGTACGAAGAAGTTGTGAAATGAAAGTAACAGTTTTAATTCCGAAATCGGCAAGAGCTTGGGGTCTGTTTGCGATTTGCGAGATGTAAAATTGGAAGGGATCATGCCTGCACTGAACCAGCTGTAATATACTGATATTTGCCTCAAGGCACAAGTTGTCGCCATACGCGTATGCATATGTTTGCTCCGCGCAAAATACGCGTTGTGTTTCGCTTATTTCTCAAACATATATCCATCACTACAATATAATGCGTTGTACAAGACAAACTATGGCTCTTAAGGTGGCTCGACACACTTTTGCACAAATTGGAATTTAGGGTTTAGATCCCAAATTTTGGACAATAATTACTTGTTGATAATGAAAGGATTCTTGAGTTTTATAATACTACTCTCGTAGAGTTCAGAATTGTTCGCAAAAATAACCTAACTTCCGTTGCTATGGCGACAATGACGTTGCAATATGGCCGATATTTTGGTTTCAAAAAGCAATATAAGTCGAAAATAACATCGGTGACCCCCATTTTTTATTTGATATATTGCTTTCGTCAGATAAAAGGAATTGTTTGACAAATTTGACAAATTTAAAAAAAATTCTATTATGGGGATTTATTTATTTCATTTAAAAAATTTCCCCATGAAAGAATTTGTTTAAATATGCCAAACAATTCCTTTTACCTAAAGAAAGCAATATATCAAATAAAAAATGGGAGTCACCGATGTTATTTTCGACTTATATTGGTTTAAAACCAAAATATCGGCCATATTTATGTCGCCATATAGCAACGGAAGTTAGGTTATTTTTTTGCGAACAATTCTAAACTCCAGGAGAGTAATATTATAAGACTCAAGAACACTTTCTTTATTAACAAGTAATTATTGTCCCAAAATTTGATATCTGAACCTTAAATTTTCAATTTTGCGCAAAAGTGTATCGAGCCACCTTAAACGTTTCTCGTTGTTTCAGTCAAAATCGAAAATCAGAGCTCACGGACACACGGGCCACGGCTTTTGTAACCCGATGCGAATGCACCTAAACAATGCTAATTTGGCAATAACTAGTGAACTGTGTATTAAATACTAGAGGGTTAATGGGTCTTAATTTCGAGTGGAAATCATACACATGTCAAATTCAAGCCAGGAACAGTTGAGGAAAAATTCATCAACTATCGGTCCATCAACTATCGGTCCATTGAACAATTGTTCAATTCCTGCCGGAGGACCGATAGTTGATGAATTTTTCCTCAACTGTTCCTGGCTTGAATTTGACATGTGTATGATTTCCACTCGAAATTAAGACCCATTAACCCTCTAGAATTTATCCTACATCGAGTGAAGTGCCACAAAATCTTAATTGATTTACCCACACCTATTCGCAGGCATTACCACCCTAAATACACATTTACTACGCTAGTTCTTGTCAGCTACCTCCGTAGCTTAGTGGTCAGAGCATTGCACCGGCATCGCAAAGGCGTAGGTTCAATTCCTGCCGGAGGACCGATGGTTGATGAATTTTTCCTCAACTGTTCCTGGCTTGAATTTGACTTCCATGATTTCCATGATTTCCACTCGAAATTAAGACCCATTAACCCTCTAGAATTTATCCTACATCGAGTGAAGTGCCACAAAATCTTAATTGATTTACCCACATGTGTATTAAATAATTTAAAGAGCATAAATTGGCAAAACGAAAATGACATACAGTTGCAATTTAATGCGCTAAGAATGGCGCATGGCCTATTTCCATAGTCATAGCGACTTAAACGCTCAATAGAGGGTCTCGTTCCATTCAAGTTGTCCCATAATTATGTTGTTTTTTATGATATTTTCAGTAACTTATTTTTCGGGTTGGGTCGCAGTGTCTTGGAAGAAAGATTTTCATTGGCTTCATTTGACAATTGCTTTTGAGTTTATAACAATGAATTGCTTCGTTCTTTAGAAAACTTTCAATTGGAACAGATCTTACGAGCCACTGCGAGGCTTCCCCATTTTTCTGCAATACAACTTTCCGGAAAGCACGTGGCTTTGGCTATCGAGCCTCGTTTTCATGTTTTAGACTTACTTTAGGCCTTTCTCTATCGTTGTTTGTGACCTGTTTATGTGATCATGGGTGCTTAATAGAAAGTGCCAAGGCCTTTATAGATGACTTCACCTCCAACTATACAACATAAAGGCTCAAAGCCCAGATTCTTTTTCATGAAAGCGAGGCTCTATAGCCAAGTGACGAGCTTTCCGGAAGGGAGTATTGCGATGTTTTATATAATTGTGATAGATGTTTGAGTTTCTATAGAATGTTCACTCAGATCGCAGGAAATCGCGTTTGTGAGGTCCAATTCAGGGGCGGATCTAGGGGTAGTCAGATTAGTCACGCGACTAACGTAAAAAAAGGGCATATAAAAAAAATTTGGACTAATGTTTTTGAATTTTTTTCCCAGCGCAAACGCTTCTCTTCATTTCTGATCATGCAATCAAAACTACATCACACTCCAGCATATAAACTTCGATCAGTTTTTGCACATTGAGCCAGCGATTGATTAGTCAAACAATAAGTCAAATAAGCGGTATTGAAATGAAAATTGACTATTCTGCATTTTAGTTCATGTGATTTGATTGGTCAAATTTTTCAGATTACACATTACAGGCATGTTGATTGGTCAGACCTATTTTGACTAACGATTGCGCAATTTTGACTATTTTGACTAATCCTGCAAATAGATAGCAGCTTCTGATTGGACAATTTGCGCAAAAGAGTTAAAGAACATCTCCTCTGATTGGCCTTCTAATCTTCAATTTGGAAGCATTGTGCACTTGGTAGCTCTGTTGCAGGGTGAACACTTTTTTCCATCCAGCAAACCGCCCTATCGATTTTGTAAAGTCGTTTCTTTTTGGATTTTTTCATTAATTCGGTTAGGGTTAGAGTTAGGGTTGAGGTTAGGGTTAGGGGTTAGGGTAGGGGTAGGGTTTGGGTTAGTTACATAGCCATTTAACACCTGCGAAAATGACGCCAGGTCAGTTTGCTGGATGGAAAATAGTGCTAACCCTGTTGCAGCTCATTACAATTTTACAAGCGAATTATTTCGCTTAATCTTAGTATATTTGTTGAACTATTTTCGAAATAAAGATTTCGAAAGGGTTATATCGTTATCTGTTACGATAAGGGATGCTTTCTGGTGTTCTATGGAGAATATTTCAAGCTGATAAATTCGATGGATGCAAGAAAATTGTCTTGGCCGAAACTATGATGTGTTGATTTCTCGTCGTCTATATTTTCAAGAGATTAATAAGAGGTGTATGGCATTAAGGTAAATTAGTGGTTTGAATTTTGAACAATAAATCGTAACGTTGAATTGAACGTACGATTTGCATAATTGTGCGAGGTTATAGGTCCAAAGTTTCATATACTGCATACATATTCATTTATATGTGTATAAAATTAAAACACCTCAAGTGGCAGAAATTTGATCTCAAATATTTGATCATGTTGGATAAAAAATATTTATTGTGTACATGCTTTATAGAGTATTGATTGACTGATAATAGCTCTACAAATGTACTTTATAAAGATAATAATATAATCTTTGGTTATATTTTTAGATCTAATGCAATTGGCTGTATAGCTCTGTTTCCTATTATTAGCATTGACAGGTACCAATGACCTATAAATTTGACCTTGATAGTTTAAATGTTTACAGTGCAAGTGTGAAAGGTCTATACAGTATGTCACTTTTTATACAGTATAAGCGAAGAAGCACTATGGTTGAAGACTAATTAGATTAAATGACTTGGCTTGGTCATGATGCAAATTCACCAGGATATCCTAACATACTGTAGGAAACTTTATTAAATTTTCTGGAACATGCATGAGGTTAAAGTTAAATATATCGGCTTGCAAAAAGACCACTCTTGCCTCCAATGACAATAACCTCACTCTTGTACACAACACTGACATGAGAAAAAAACTTCCTGGGGCATGAGAAAAAACTTCCTTCATCATCAACCAAACTTAGCCTTTCAAGATCACCACCTTAATTCCCATAATCTCCCCCCACCCCAAACATTCGGGCTTTGTAGACAAAAGCTGATGCCAAATATCGGTCTGATCTCATTGGCTTGAGACCGGTCCATTGCATCTTGAACCAGTTAAATTTTTCAACAGACCAGGGCTTGAAATAACAACTGATTACCAATCAATAGTCAGCAAGAAATTGCTTATGATCAGCGGAAAAGCAGGGTTTTCAACCTGAAAAAGCAGGGAAAGTCATGACTGCCGATCACCATGATCAATCACCATGTCAATCACCATGATCAATCACCATGATCGGGAATTTTGGGAATGTTATTTCAGGCCCTGACAGACAAACATCATGTTGATAGTATGTGTCTATATATATACAGTATGTAAGCATAGTGTAAGAATAGTGGAATAC